AGTCTCCTTAACTATGATGGTTCACTTTACACCGAAGGAAGTTTGTGAATTCTTTTCTAATTGATTCTAAATAGCTTAGACTCTGTGGTGGGATTAGTTGGATCTATTGAAAAGATGATCTAGGTTTTAAAATTTGCTATGGATTGCAACTTGAAGGTGGAAATTTTGTCTTGTTTAAGTTTTAGCCTTGTGTCTAGTTTGTTAAGTTTTTTTTATTTTCTTTGAGTCTTGTTTTGCTTGAGGACAAGCAAAAAGCTAAGTTTGGGGATATTTTGATGGGCATATTTTATATTATATATTTAGCCTCATTCTTAGTATATTTTGGTTGATATTTTGGAAGAATTTTGATACTTTGAATTATATTTCCAATATAGGATTTTCGAATTTCTCTGGAGCAAAACATAATCAAATGGACGAATTTTGGAGTAATTCCAGTTGGAGGACGTTCGTGAGTCACTTGGCTTGATCGTATCAAACTTTCAGACTTTTCTACCAAACGGTTATTTTCTGGCGATAAAATAAAGGAGCAGTGTGCAGTGCTGGAAAGTGACGTTTTGGGCTTTTATGGCATTTTTGGAGCCCGAGATGACCTCTGATGGATTCGTGGCCTTCTGGAGAAATGTTCAGAACGTTTTTATCTTTAAAACAAGCTATATTGGGCAGGATTTGGAGGAGATTTGAGCCCAAAACGTGGCTGGGCAGATTACGGACAGATTCTCCTAGTCCAATTTGGATTTTATGTCATGTCATTATTTTATTTTATTTAGTTTCCTTGTGGGGATAGAAAAGCTGGTGGTGGGCAGCTTGTTTGTGGGAGTATTTAAGTTCTATTTCACAGAATTTTTATATCCTTCTCTTTTGGCTTTTGAACGTGACTTTTGCTAGGGTTTTTGAAGAACTTCTACTTCAAGGTGTTTTCGATCTTTGTTATTTTAATGAAGAACTTGATGGCGTCGTGGTTTCAAAATATCTATACGTGTGCCGTTTTTTAGGTGTTTAAAGTATGTTTCTACGACGGGTTTCTATTACCGTCGTCTTTTAAAAAACAACGACGGTTTTTTGATCTACCGTCGTTGTTTACTGGTCGTCTTTTGCCCTTTTTGTAGTAGTGTGTTTAGAAAAGTAATTTGATGCAGTTTTGGTCGGAGGTCGGTCCCTGAAATTGACGAAGGCTTCTTGTGATTAATATGTGCAAGTTCACTTAGGATGAATACCACGTCTTAAGGGTTGCAGGGTTTTTGAAAAGGTTTCACAGAACTTAATGAGTCATGTATGTTTACATTTGATCTGAATACCACAGACGGATTGCATGCGTGATATACGCTCTATATTGGGGGTCCAAGTAGGCATATATTAGGAATACCTAACCTTCGAAATATGCATGTATAGGTCATAAGTAATTGGGAGAACTATATAGAATTGTTAAGGTGACGGCGGATCCCCAGTGCTTTCTTAATTTGATTTCTAAAAACACAACTGTTTCTCTTGCTCTTAGCTTTAATTTTGCATATTGCCTTATTTTTATTAGTTAAATTCGTTTTAATTTAAGGTTTTCAAATCAAACATCTCAATTTTCTCTTTTACAATAATTAAGTAGGATTTGGTTTGCAACGAGTTATTTAATAATCCCTGCGGAGAACAACCTTGCGAGAAACATTTATACTGCAACAACCTTGTCATTCTTGCGAGTTTTATAGGAGTTTTAACCCTGTTTGCGTAGGTACTAAAAAGCCTATCAAGAATTTGGCGCCGTTGCCGGGGATTCTTTAAAATAATTCGTTCTAATCAGATTCTGCATTAATTATTGCTGTACATACATACCAAAAATTAAAAAAATAATAAAAAAACTAATTTTCATTTTTATTTTATTTTTACATATCACAGTAGGGCAGTGCAGATTACAATCTGTGCATGGTCAGCACACGTTCAGCAGTTCAGCAATTGTTTCCGTTTGATCCAGAACTTGAGCAATCTTTATGGAGGAGACCTAGGGAGCAAAATTTGTTGTGGGTTCCTTCACTGCAAGGGGCTTTTCTGCAGTCTTTATATTCTGAGGACCTGCACAGTAAAGAAACAATGGCTTTTGTTATTCCAGAGGCTGGTGATCCTTTGGGGAATTCTTTAACAGCTCATGCCACTAACATACCAGGTTGCATTACATATCCAGCAGTGGAGGAAGGGTCTACATTCGAAATCAAGCATCACATGTTGAGTATTCTACCTACATTTCATGGGTTATCAACCGATGATCCTAACATGCACATTGCAGAATTTTTAATGGGATGCAAGAATATTTTGGTGAAAGGATTCTCAGCTGAATCTATTAAGCTAAGTTTATTTCCTTACACATTGAAAGATCAAGCAAGGAGATGGCTCCTCACACTTCCATCTGGAAGCATTAGCACTTGGAACCAACTCAGTGAAAAATTCTTAAACAAGTATTATCCAGCCTCAAAGACTCTCGACATGAGAACTCAAATTCTATCTTTTGCCCAAAAACCAAATGAAGAGTTTCATGAGGCGTGGGAACAGTTTAAAGAGTTGAATTTTTCTATGTCCACATTCTGGTATTAGCAGTACAGATCAAGTGCATATATTTTTCAGAGGGTTAAATATGACAACAAAAACTCTTGTCAACGCTTCATGTGGAGGTTCGCACAAGGATAAAAATGCACAAGAGGCTTGTTTATTATTTGAAAAAATGGCAGCAGATACACAGCAATGGGCAGTTGAGCAGCCACAAGCTAGGTCTGTTTTTGAGATATCTAATGGTTCTCCATATATGTCGGCACAAATTGAAAAAATGGAGAAAAAGCTTGAACGATTTGATGCAAAATTTGACATGTTATTACAAAGAATTCCATGTTCACAGGTTGCTGTACAGCAACCTTTACCAGTTGCCTGCAGCATTTGTAATTTGACAACCCATGATTTTTTGAGCTGTCCACATAAAGATG